GTTTCCTATTAACAAGACTGTTTGGAGGATTAAATGCAATGGTGGGATTTAAATAATTTAACATCCGGTTCGCTGCCCTAATGACTGTTTTAAGTATAAAAAAATGATATACTAAAAGATAGCTTATTACTTCATGCAGTTAATATTTAAATAAGAACAAAATTTTACAAATTACAATAAAATAACAAATTAGATTATGTTATGAGTTTTCAAATATTAATGAAAAATTAAATATTTAATATTAAATAATGCCTTAAAAAAACCAATAAGACTGTTATTTGAGACCTTTCCATATTGCTTTTTGATTGGCGGCCTCCCTTGCCATATTCTTTGCTTTTAACTAAACATCATCGGATGTGTGATTTATTTATTTATGATTATTATTCATAATTGTATGTGCTAACTGGTCATGATCTCACCTGAAGAGGCAAAACCAGAGCCGGCCAACATGGCTTTTTCTCTCAGTAGGATAATGGCAGGACTTCCACTAACAGAAGTACTGTAATTGCAGCCTGCTTTGTGTGATTTATCTTTAACCATCTTTTCTCTGTAGGAGTAGGATCCCATTTCTTTAGAAGTGGGGCAATTAAATAATAGTCATTGTGCTTGATATATTAGAAACAAGTGACTTCTCTTCTCTGAGCATATTATGCCCATCTTTGAAAAACCCTTTCCACTTCACTGAACTTAGAGCAACTGTTCTGACAATATGTTCAGCTCTTTGAACACTTTCAGGAATTGCATAATTCACTCATAATTCTCGTGGGAATTTGTGGCATACAGAAAGCTGAAATGAATGAAAGCATGTTACCCTTTGGTTGCCCGGCACTCTTTCTCTTTACGTTATACATTCTTTTACTGAAGTAGCAAACAAAAGAGAATCAAAATGTACTTTTCATCAAAAGTATTCCAAGTTTTATGAAATGAATAAACACATATTACAAACATAGTTCTAATTTTTTATACCTGTGGATGGAATGAACATTAGAATATGCTGTTGTACAGATGAACATTAAAAAAGAGTAAGGAATGCAAATTTGTGATTTCCACATCGAGCAGCTAGATAATGGGAGTTTTCTTTTAGAAAGATTCCTAATTACAAGTGCCATTTTAACAACCCGTTTGCTGAATTTAACAAAAAATTAGGTATCAGCTCTGCCACACCAGTGCAAACTGGCTAAATCCCACCCCTGATTAAATGTATATATAGTGTCGAACAAAGTCTGGTACTTAAGTGCTGTATCAGTAATAGCTACTGCTCTTATTCTGTTTTATCCATGCCCATTCATCTATTCTGAGCTCCCCCACAAAACAGCAGTACCAAGGATCTGGCCCCTATGAGTTGGAATTGACTTGGCAGTGAGTGAGTGAGGTCTCTGGGTGTGGGTGACTATAATTCTCAGATTAGTTAAAAAAATATTATGGAAAATTCGAACACACATAGAAGTAGATGGAAGAGGGTAATGGAGCCCTGTAACCAGTTTTAATAATTATCAATATTTTGCTAATCTTGTTAATTTATCCCCTCTCATTTTTCTTCTTACCGGGGTATTTTAATGTACATCTCAGGCATCACATCACTTTGAAACTACTCAAATAATGGTAGTATAGTGGTTATGCATTGGGTCGCGATCCCTATAGCTGGCAGTTCAAAACCACCAGCCACTCTGTGGGCGAAAGACTGGGTTTTCTACTCCTTATAAAGGGTTAAACTCTTGGAAACCCACAGGGGGTTGCTATGAGGCAGCATTGATTTGATGACAGTGAGAAAACAGATGAGGAATGGAAAAAGCAAACAAACCCATTATCACATTTAAACAAGTTAACAATAAGTAGGAAGGACTTTGAAGCAAAACCTTTTCACGGTGAATTAGTGAAGGTTTTCAGAGCACAGCATAGTTTTACATTCAACATTTAATACACATTCTGATATAACTCCCCCAGTGCACTCCCCCAGATGCACCAACGCTTAGTTTATCTTACTTCCTCCTTGTTTCCATTTCCTGTTTTTATTCCTCCCGCTTTCCCAACCATCTGAACTTTCTCCTGGAGTGAATGCTGCCCTTTTGATCTTAAATGGTTGCTTATTCTAACACAGAGGTGAATTCAGTTCCAGACTTGAAGGGCGAGGGCCACAATCTTGGGGTTCCAACCAGTCAGTCTGGGCTCTTTTAAGATTTTGAGTTCTGTTTAGGGAGAGTTTTAAAAATTCCATTCTCTTGAGAGAAGTTCATGATGGGGGTACCCTCACCTGGGGATAGATGTTGAACATATAGATGTTGAACAAAGAGAATGTTGAACAAAGGCAAAGAGAGTTAATATCTGGAAAGTGCCTTGAACAGGGCTTGGGATATACTGAATGGGATAAAGTGGTTAACTATTATTTTGATTCCCTCTTATGCATCTGCCTAGCTATTCCCTCTACTCCCTCTTCCCAGCCCCTCTCATTTCCAGACTGTGAATGTGGATGACCTTTTACAAAGGAGGACCAAAGGAAAGGCCCAACATGGGTTTTTCCAGATCACTGGTGCCCTGGGGTGGGAGGTGGGACTCCAGCAGGCACTGAGAAGGGCCCAGAGGAAGCAATGGCTATAGGGAGAGGGGAGGAGCACCATTGTTGGAGAGTTTGGTGGCTTTAAAGAAGGGCAGCCCAGCAGCCATGTGGCAATGGGGCTGAGAAAATCCAGTAGGCAAATGGCAGGTGAGTGGGAAGGTTGGTTTTTTCCTTCTCAGTAATCCAAACCTTTTTGGATCATGCTAGCTGGGGAGCAGTAGCCCTGTAGCATCCTGAGGAAGTTCTCTTGAGCTCCATTGTTTAGAGTGGGAGGGGTAGGTGCTTGCAACAGCAACTAGTCACCTATTTTGCATCACCTTGAGTTCTAAACAGTTTCAAGGACATGAGGGATGGAGGCAGACACCTCTTTCTTATCTAGGAAATTCTCTCCATCAGCTTTTTCACCACATTCATCCTTTAAGACTCCAGACACTATTCCGATTGATAGCCGGGCACCATCTGCTTTCTTTCCCACACTTCGCAGTGACATCCTTATCTTCAATGATCTCTTCATAAAGGCGAGTATGGAGCAGGGCCAAGTTATCAGAACTAACTACTTGCGGATTAGGGCTAGAATTAAGTGGGGGCCCAGAATCCATCTGCTTGTCCCTGGGTTATGAACGACTCTGGTTTACTTTGTCATATTATGACACAAAGAAAACCAACAAAAAGAATAACAAAAACAAACAAAAGGCAGAAAAACAATAACCAAAGAAACAAAAAAAGAAAAGCATTGTCAATCATCCCCCTGGGGTATACGGGGATTGCACTGATAACATCAATAATTTATGGAATGACACAGAATTGAAGATTCTGTTGATATGAGGAGTATTCAAGGACAGTGCAAGTGGGAGCAGCAATCCATGAATTGTTGCTTTCTTTTTATCTTTCTTTTATTTTTCTTAAATAAATCATTTTATTGGGGGCTCTTACCACAATCCATATATCAATTGTGTCAAGTATATTTGTACATATGTTGCCATCATAATTTTCAAAACATTTTCTTTCTACTTGAGCCCTTGGTATCAGTTTCTCCCGCCTCCCCGCCCCCACCCGTGAACCCTTTATAATTTATAAATTAATTTTTTTTTCATATTTTACACCATCCGCAGTCTCCCTTCACCCATGTGTCCCTGTTTGGCACGGAGGGGTGGGGGCCGCTGTTGAACGTCGATCATTGCCATTGGTTCCCTTTCTTCCCCTTGGTGCTAGGGGAAATTTTCCTGTATCATTTCTTACAAGGACAGATCCTTGCCTATGAGATTAAAACCTCTCACATTAATGCAAGGGCAGCATTGAGGTACTAAATATACGGTGGGTCTGGGTCTTCTTGCATTGGACACCCACTAAGCCAGGAGTCCCACCCAAGGTCCAATGACTGCCATTTCCACTGTAACACAATTTTTGTTGGCACACGCCATTTAAGCAATGCTCAAGCTAACCAATGAAACTCAATTGCCATATTTTCCTTTTGAAAATGTGACAGGATCTTAGTTGAAGCTTTTGAAGAAACAGTGAGCATATGACTTATTATTTCTTAAATGAGCGCTTGGGTTTGGCTATTAAAGCTCCTTCTTCACTGTGGTTTAAGTAAAGGAGAGTTTGAATTCAAAACATGCTCAGATTGGCTAGCAGGGGAAAGATGCTGTCTGTGGGTGAAGGGTGAGCAGGCTACCGGATGACTTCTCTTAGGACCCATTAAGATCACAGGCACACACACTTATTCCTCTACCCCACACCACGCACACATTTCCTTGCACGCTCACCTACATTCAACTTCCACATACCCCACTTCAGCAAAACAAAAAACAAAACAAACAAGCTCACTGCCATCGAGTCGATGCCACTCATAGTGACCCTACAGGGCAGGGCAGAACTGTCTGTGAGTTTCTGAGACTGCGACTGTCAGTGGAAGTAGAAAGCTCCGTCTTTCTCGCCAGGAGCGGCAGCGGTTTCGCACTGCGGACTTTAAACTCGTAACCACGACGCCACCATTGCTTCTCTACCTTAAGCCACACTCCTCCCCAAAATGAGGAATTCGCCATTGCAGCGTTTGGATTGGAAATGCGCCGCGTGGGCCGCGATCGCCTTCTAGCGGCCTAGCGCGTCGATGCAGGTCAGCTACCCTCGTGGGAGGGGCACAGGCAGTGCGCCGGTTGGCTCCGCCCACTACGCGTTCGGCGCGTGTGCAACGCGGGAGCGAGCGAAATTCAAACCCCTAGTCAAGGGAACGTGGGCTATCTAGGCCGAGCGCAATGGAGGCGTCCAGAGGGTTTGCGGAAGCCGCGTCCTTGAGCCCAGAGCAGACCGCTCATTACCTGAGGTAGGTGGGGGCCGCCGTGCGGGGCTAGCTCTGAAGGCCCGTCCCGGGGAGGATCGCGCGGTTTTCGGATCGCAGAGCGGAAACTGCAGAGGCGGGGCCTTGGGGAACGTAGCCCGCGCTGCGCGCTCTCGAGAGCGGGATGTGTTTTCAAAGTCCCGAATGCCCGCTCCCCCGCACCCCCCCCCCCGCGCCCCATTATGGTCAAATAACCCGTGATACGAGTTCCTTTCGGGCTGGGACTCCTGCCCAGATCACTTGGTAAAGCACTTCTTTAGTCTTTCTACCAAGCCCCAGGGCCAAAAGATTCCTGCCGCCACTTGGTTTAAATCTCTTGGGGAAGACGGGCAGATAAATCAGTAATTGCTGTAATGCCTGAGAAGCACTACAACCGGTAAATGTCCATAACATAACTGGTATAATGCTCATAACAAAATCAGCCTGAAACTCAGGTTGAGTGAATGTAGCGAGCAAATAGCGAGTAAGGGTTGCCGGGGGAGCTGCTCTCAAGGAGTGCAATAACGAAGAAAATGTGTTGAACTTGTTTGGGGTAATAGCAATTATGCAACATTGCACAACACTGCTTGATGTGACAGAACTCATGAGTAGTATGATGCCTGCATTATGTCCTGATAAAATGACTTGGGGAAAAAAGTATAATAGTGTGTTGGTACAGAGGAAGGAATGCCCGATTACAGATACTGGAGATTTGCTGAATAGTGAGTGAACATTCATCATATGGATGGTGGATTGGGGATGTTTTTGATTTTTGGCTGAGAGGGTTTCAAAACTTCATCGAAAACGACGTTATCTTTTCATTTCATTTTCCATGAAAATGTTGACGCTCCCTCGTTTGAGAGGTGATGGTGCCCTGGGTGCTGTTTGTAATCTGTAGTATGGCATTGCTAGAAAGCAAAGTAGGAGGGAGGTGGGCCCAAATTGAGTAAGAGAGTTAGGATGCTGGCCTAAGGGGAGTATACCTATCCTTTGGGGGACAGGTACCCTCAGAGCCTAATGGGATGGGTCCTGGGTGCCACTTGAGGTGAGGCACCAATGAGCAGTTTCTGTCCACAATCCCTGTTTGATCCCCAGCTGTGAGATATCATTCAGCAATTTAAATCTAATTGCTAACCACCATGGGTCCACAAAGGAGCCCCGGTAGTCTAGGGCAGTGGTTCTCAACCTTCCCAATGCTGCTGAGACCCTTTAATAATACAGTTCCACATGTTGTGACTCCTCCCAAACATAAAATTATTTTTGTTGCTACTTCATAACTGTAATTTTGCTAATGTTATGAATTGGGTGACCCCTATGAAAGGGTCGCTCAACCCCCAAAGGGGTTGCAACCCACAGGTTGAGAACTGCTGGCCTAGTGGGTTACCCATGGGCTGCTTACTGCAAATCCTTCAGCTGCTCGCTCTTCAAGCGAGAGCTGAAACTTTCTGCTTCTATGAAGATTTACAGCCTTGGAGACCCAAGGGTACCGTTCTGTTCAGTCCTACAGGGTCACTGCGAGTCAGAATCGACTTGCTAGCAGGGAGTTTAATTTGGTTTTGGTTTTTTTCAGTGCCTCCACTTTCAGTCAAACAGTAGACAGGCTTGTAAAGTGAACACGGATCCCTGGGGGTGCAATGAATTAAGTGCCTTACTGAAATGTTGGAAGTTTGAACCCCGTGAGAGATGGGGCAGCCTGCTTCAGTAAAGATATGCAGCCCTGGAAACACTCGAGCTGGATTTCTTGGCCTTGTAGTTTTGATCTTGGGAGAAAAATGAGGCTTTCTACCCCTGAAAAGATTCATAGTCTCTGCTCTGTGCTGTTGGGCTGCTTTGAGTTGGAATCAACTGGATGGCAGTGAGGAAGTGTCGATAGAGCCAGGATTGGCTGGCAGGAGTGGAGTTATAAGGTGGACAAGTACAGAAGAAAGGTGTGCATGCATTCCTTAGAACAATTGGCCACAAGAGATCAAAAGGGCAGCATTTGCTCAGAGATGAATCTCAGAAAGTCAGATGGCTAGGAAAAAACAAAGGGAACACGGAAGCAGAGACAGGAAGTGGAAAGAGAACTGTTTACATTGTAGGGATTGCAATCAATTGTACAAAAAAATAGTGCATGAGTTGTTGAATGGAAAACCAGTTTGCTCTGTCAACTTTCACCCAAATCACAATAAACCAGGAAACAACAACAGATACCTCACTGCCATTGAGTCAATTCTGACTCATGGCCACTCGATAGGGCAGGGTACAACTTCCCTGTGGGTTTCTTAGACTATAATTCTCAATGGGGGTAGTAAGCCTTATCTTTCTCCCGAGGAGAAGAGGTGGTTTGGATCTGTTGAACTCCAGGTTAAGCAGCCTAACATGTAACCACTACGCAACCAGGACCCCTCAATTACAATAGAGTTTAAAAATAATCACTCCTCGTAGGTGTAATTTTTTTCCATACCTTTGAAAGGTTGGAGATCTGCTTTCTAAATGTTTTATTGGCTGCCAAGGGAAGATTGACTGAGGGCTAGAAGGCCATTTGGAACCTGTTGTATTTTAGATGAGGGCCTCTGGTTCTGAAAGTGCCTAATGTCCCCAAAAGGAATTAAAAAGGAATCCTTGGATGACAATGAGAGTTCAAGATACATTTGTGGGATCTACATAGGAAATAAGCCTCTGGTGATTTCCTTCTACCCATAATGAGGGATTGGAGGAAAGTGGTTATTAAACAGTGCATTGGAGAGATGACTATAGAAGATCGAAAGGATAAACCTGACTTGAACGGCTAAAACCTTGTCAGTTGATCCCCCTCTGATGCACGATTGGGCTTGATCTGGTTTTCAACATTTTCTGTGTTTCTTTGTTTTTCATACTGGGGTTTATCAGATGTATTTTGTCATTGGGGGTAACCCTCTTGAATTTGTGTTACATGTTTTTTGTTATAAGAAACCCAGGATTGATGAACCTATAGAGACAGCAAGTAGAATAAGGGTTCCTGGAGGGTACAGTGAGGGGGGGGTGAGGTAAAGGGGAGCTGATACCAAGGAGTTCAAGAAGCAAGAGAATGTTTTGAAATGGATTGTGATAGTAATTGTACAATATTGCTTGATGTGGTTGAACTATTGTGGTCATTACATAATTTCATGCCAACTTGATAAATTAGTGCAGGGGTGGAGTCTAGCCTGTCAACAACTCAGAGCCAGATGATGCCTCTATGTGGGCGTGGCCTCCTCATAAGGATTCTGGGAGCTTCCTCTCTCTTGAGTCTACCATCAGAAGAGGTGGGCCAGACTCTCTCTGCTGCATCTTCCTATTGAGGAGCCACACTCAGAGAGCTGGAGGAGCCAGGCCTGAGATGCTTCTACCAGCATTGCATTGCTTCCACAAGACTTTCTATCCACCAGCCTGTGATCTTCCTGCACTTGGCATCGTTGAATGTGCTGTGTGAGTCTGCAGAGGAATTTATGGACTAGTATCAGACATATGGGCTAATATTGGACTTAAGGACTTGACCTGAACTGGGCTGGGATGGCTTCTCAGTATACAATTGCTCTTTGATATAAAGCTCTCTCTTCTCTAGTCAAACCGGACAAACAACTATGGAAAGATATGATATCTGTTTTAACTTCCAACTGGTTTTGGTTTTGGGAAAATAAAAAATATAGGTGGAAAAGGAATAATTAGAGATAGAAATCGACAAGAGAAGTGGTATCTGCCACTGAACACAAGGGGAAGGGAAATTTCAAGTGGTCAATGGTACTAAATGCAGCAGAAAGATCAAGAAAGCTAAAGACCAACAACGAGCTGTTGGATTTGGCCATGTGGAGGTCATCAGTGCCCTTGGTGAAAGAACAGGTTCAGTAGAGTAGTTGAGTATAGGCCAAATTGCAGTGTGTTGAGTTATGAATCCTAGTTGTGTGTACCTTCCAATTGGCAGCAAAGCAGTTTTTCATATTTAAAATCGGTGCCTTAGATGAAAATTTACACACAGCAAATTAGTTTTCCATTTAATAATTTAAAAAGTCCTGGTATCATAGTGGGCTATGCCCGTTAGGCGACGAACTGCAAGGTGAACAGCTCTAAACCTCCAGCAAATTTCCATTTAGAGGAATGGAAAAAACCCAAACCACAGTCACTACCTTTGAGTTTGTGCCAACTCAGTGACCATATATAGGACAAAGTAGAACTGCCCTTGTGGGTTTCTGAAACCACAGTAATTCTTTTTGTTTTTAACAGTTTTATTGGTGCATAATTTATGTAGAATACACTTCAATAGTTCAGTCCTTCAGTCACATCGAGGAGAATTGTACAATCACTACCACATCAATTTAAAAACACCTCCCTATGGTTTACTTACCTTTAAATGAGTTGTACAATCAGAGTCAGTTCTAGTACTTTCTTCCGCCTCCCATCTTCATTTCCCACTCCCAAAATTCCCCTTCCCTCCTTCTCACCCACTCCCCATCCCTGCATCCCCTATCAACCTCTGCATCAGTTGTTATCACTGTGCATCCACTCCTCCTGTGGGTCACCAACTGGGAAACCCAACAGAAACAATAAAAACCACATTCAAACTAAGGTGGTAAGGACCAAATAATAATAAAATGAAGAGCAAAGTACAAATAATGAGTAAGAGAGGAAAGACCTTCATTAACATTCTAAAAGCCAGGGAAAGAATTTCTGTGATGGAACAAGTAAGAGATGCTTACACCCAGAACCACTTCAGGTCGGGTCTACAGGGAGGTCATCTGGCCAAGTGTCGAGTTAGACTGAGCATATTCAGGCTTTCAGTGGTCTCTGCCTGACAGCAAGGCAGTTCGAGACTAATGTCCTTTTGTGAAGTCTTTTTAATCTTCTCCTGTTTCCTGTAAACCTACCACCTAGAGTCTCCCGTTAACATTTCTTGTTTTATCACATCATCCTTGTTCTTGCAATTTATCCGTCCTACCAATCCATCTTATTTTTAATGCATTAGAAAGTAAATGGCAGATATCAGGATACTTCTTCGTAAACTCCTCAGT